TGATGAGTCTTATTGCCAAGATCAAATAACCCCCTGACAACAGCAAGAAATTGCCTCCAACTGCTGGCTCATATGGCAGCTTGTACTTTCATAACACAACATGCCAGGTTACATCTTGCTGCTTCCAGGGTTGGCTCAGAATAGTCTATCACCCGAACAAACAAACAGTCTAGACAATCTGGTGTCTGGCCCTCATCATGTGCTACACTCGCTCAAGTGAAGGACCTGTCCAAAGTCCGTGCAGGAGTTCCTATCGCCCAGCCTGCCCCTACCATCGCCATAACTTTGGATGCCTCACTTGTGGGATGGGGAGTGCAGCTAATGGGACACACTGTCCAAGGCAAATGGTTGTCTCAAGAGTCTCTCCTGCACATCAACCTCCTAGAATTAGGAGCAGTCAGGAATGCCTGTATCCACTTGCCTCCCTTAAGCAAGGGCCAATCCATGAAGGTCATGACAGACAATGTAATCTGCATGTTCCACGTAAATCTCAGGGAGGGGTGAGATCCCCTTCTCTTTGTGCTGAAGCAATAAAGCTGTGGAATTGGTGTCAAGCCAGTCACGTCCTCACAGCCGCTTACCTTCCGGGCATGCAGAGCACCATGGCCAATGATCTGAGCAGACATTTCTCCCACGATTATGAGTGAGAACTGGACCTTCAGATCCTCAAACAGAGATTCCTGACCTGGGGTTTACAGAAGCAGACATCTTTGCAATTACCGCCAACAGAAAGTGCAAGAAATTCTGCTTGAGAGGAGGATTGGGCCATCAGTCGTTGGGAGACACCTTTCTCATTCCTTGGGCCTACTCTATACATCTCTGACACCATTGATTCAGAGGGTGTTGAACAAGATCAAACGAGACAAAGCCAGAGTCAGTCTAGTTGCACCAGCTGAGTTGAGGCAGGTCTAGTACCCTTCCGTGACTCACTTCACTTCCTGTTCAGCATTGCAGCTTCCAGCCATGTCCTATGTGCTGTCCCAGAACTCCAGTCGGACTCTCCATCCCAACCTGGCCATCTGCTGACTCTGAGCTTGGTTCCTCAGTGGTTTTTGGGGATAGAGGTTTCCCATTCGACAGAGATCCAACAGGTCCTGTTAGAAACATCAGAAAGATCTCTACTAGAAATACCTTCAAAAATGGACCTTGTTCCTTCTTCCCTCTCCCCTGTTTTTGGTTATCTATTGGATTTAAAGTATTCAGCTCTTTCTGTGAGTTCCGTCAGAGTTCATTCATCAGCTACGACAGCCTTCCGTTCCCCTGTGCAGGGATTCATTCAGGCTTTGCTCATCCCACGACAGCAAAATTCATCAAGGAATTGGTTAACCTTTTCCCGCAGAGCCTGCTCCCGTATGGGATTTGAACTGTCTCATGAAATCTCCCTTTGAGCTGCTCACTAAGTGCTCTCTGGTGCACTTACCTACGAAAGTGGCATTCTTAGAGGCATCATTGGGGAATTAGGAGCATTGGGGAATTAGCACTGAGGAATTAGGAGCATTGATGGCTGATTTCCTGCCCCCCTTCCCTGTTTTCTTCAAGGATAAGGTTTTGTTAGGCCCACATCCCAAGTTCATACCTAAAATATCCTCTGATTCGCTCATTAACCAAGTTATCCGCCTTCCTGTGTTTCCCCCAGACCCACGCCAGACTAGAGAGGAAGCTGCCCTCCATATCTTGGATGTTAGAGGGGCGTTAGCGTCTATGTGGACAGAACCAAGCCATTCAGACAGTCTCCCAGACTGTTCATCTCAGTTGCGGACAGATCCAAAGGCTCCACAGTCTCCCCCCAGAGACTCTCAAAGTGGGTTTCCAGTTCCATTCATGCTCGTTCCCAGGCTGCTAACGGTCGGCCCCCTCGAGAAGAATAGCCCATTCTCCAGCCTGCCTCCAGGGCACTCTTCAAAATGCAGCCATTGCTGAAATTTGCAGAGTGACGACCGAGGCCTCGGTGCACACTTTTCCCGAACGCTGCGCCCTGGTACACGCCTCTAGGTCAGAGGCAGCTCCACAGTTCCCTCCTCCTTCAGGGGCTACTGCAGTGGAGCACCCATTGGGACACTCCTTGTAAAAGAAGGAGCGGTTACTCACCTTGTGCAGTAGCTGGAGGTCTTCAAGATGTGTGTTGTTATGGGTGCTCCACTACCCACTCTCCTTCCCCTCTGCTTTGGAGTTCTGTCTCACGGGACTTCAGGGTCGAGAAGGAACTGAGGGCAGTTCACTTGCGCAGCCCTGTTTATCCCCGGCACAGGGTAGGAGGCTGCTGGGAGGGCATGCATGGGCCGAATGGGAACAGCTACCAAAAATCTCCAGTCAGAGGCGCATGGGGCACATGCGCACCTGAAGTGGAACACCTATAGGGACACACCTCTCGAAGACCTCCAGTTACTGCACAAGGTGAGTAACCTCTCCTTCTCTGGGTGGGATACAGAAGCCATCGGAGCGCAGGTAGCGACACCACCCAGCAGGTAAAGACAGGAAGATGAACCGCAATTCCATCTATTTCAAATGGCAGAGGAAAATTTGGGAGGTGGGATTGAGATGGAAGTAGGGTTGCCAACTGTCTAATCTCACAAATCCCAACACCCTTGCCCTGCCTCTTCCTGAGGCCCCGCCCCTTCTTTGAGGTGCCCCCCTCTCACTCCATCCCCCCTTCCTCCGTTGCTCGCTCTCTTCCACCCTTACTCACTTTCACTGGGCTGGGGCAGAGGGTTTGGGTGTGGGAGGTGGTGCAGGCTTTGGGCTGGGGCTGAGGGGTTCAGAGTGTGGAAGGGGGCTGTGGGCTGAGCCTGGGGCAGGAGGTTGGGGTGCAGAAGGGGGTGCGGGCTCTGGAAGGGAGTTTTGGTTTGGGAGGGGGCCCAGGGCTGGGGCAGGGGGTTGGGATGCAGGCTCCAGCCGGGCGGCACTTACCTTGGGCCACTCCCAGAAGTACCCAGCATGTCTGGCTCCTAGACTGCTCCGTGTGCTGCCCCTGCCTTCAGGCACCTCCCCCGCAGCTCCCATTGGCTGCAATTCCCAGCTGCAATTCCCAGCCAATGGGAGCTGCAGAGTCGGCACTCAGGGTGGGGGGAAGCGTGTAGAGACCCTCCCTGGCTGCCTCTCTGCCTAGGAGCTAGAGGGACTTGCCAGCTGCCTTTGGGAACGGCGCAGAGCCATGGCAGGTAGGGAGCCTGCCTTAGCCCCGCTGCGCTGCCAGACTTTTAGTAGCCTAAAATCTCCTGGATTGGCGTCAGTAGCCTCCCGGCCAATCCGGGAGGGTTGGCAACCCTAGATGGAAGCTGGGAAGGCCGTCAGGGTCAGCACTTGTAAAAAGGTGCCCTTGCATTTTTAATGGCCATAAATGGCCAAGACAACAGTTTCGTATCTCAAAAACCAATAGCCTCGTCCACATGGTGACCCCTAACAGCCCTCTCTTAGGACACTGACTACTTCCCATGTTACCAAAGCTGTTTCCTGTAGCATCCAGGTGTGCCAGCAAAGTCTCCCATCCACAGCAAGGCCAGACTGTTCCCTGTTTAGCATGTTAAAGCCCAAGCTCACAGCCCAAGATAGCCATCACAGCATGCTGAGTGAGCCCCCTCCCTAGGCTCACCTCACCCATTTTTCTAGGCTTGTCCCAGTTTCAACAAGGCCAGGGCATGTCATCCCATCCTGCCGCCTCTCACTCTTCAGGCACTATGCCAGGACAGAGCCACAAAGTCAGGATGACAAGAGACAGTGTTTTTTTTTCCCGAATGAACCTAACGCAAGTGGTGGGAACACAGACACAGCTGCGAGGGGAACCCCGAGTGCTCTAGAAAACATGGATGGGCCTTCACGCGAGTGACCGCTGACAGGATGGATTTCACCCACTGCATCTTGACTTTCCCTTTAGCCATTGGCTGTGTGCGGTGTTCCCTCGGAGCGGAATGAACGGATCGGTGGTTTGTTTCCCCACAGGTAACTTTGAGCAGGCCAATGAAGAGCTGAGGGCCATTATCAAGAAGATCTGGAAGAGAACTAGCATGAAACTCCTGGACCAGGTCATTCCACCAATTGGAGGTGCGTTTTTGCCATGCTCCCTGGCTTATTTCTCCCCAGCACCCTCTGCCTGCCCCCTCCGCTGCCCCA